GGTCCGCTGGTAACGCGGATTCAGCGGCATGCCTGCGGGAGGTCCGCCAGTCCCACGCCTTCGGCGTACCCACCACCGAATTGCTGCCGAAGCTGCGGGACTGGCAGACCTCCCGCAGGCATGAAACAAAAAACCTAACTTCTACCCTCACAGCGACCGGCAGGGTGCCCCCCAGGCACGCACTTGCTGCATTGGTGCCTGGAGCCGCCCCTGCTAAAACCACTTCCTAGGTGTTACACATATGAGACACAGCAGAGGTTTCGACATGATTGTCCTGAGGCCAAAGTGGTGAGAACTGTGTCTGATGGAAACTATAGTCACGTGCAGGCAGGATCCAATGTTTGGGGACATTTCCTTTCATATTATTTGTAAACCCCTGTGCTTCCCCCCATAGCAATGGGCTGCCAGGAATTCCCCCAGCTCAGCGATTTAAATACCAACAAGGAGTGACTGATATTCAGAGCAGGTTTCAGGAGGCCACGCTGCCTGTGCCGGTCCCCCATTGCCTGACCGCGACTCTCTCTGGGCTCTGTGTCTGCTGGGTCCTGCTGGGCTGCTCCGGTGAGTACGGCAGTGACTCAGGTTGCTTGTCTCAGACAGCGTCCGCCTGTCTCCCCGGTTGGAATGGCCAGGGCCAGCCTTGGGGGAAAAAAGGTGTCCTGGGCAAACTTTTATTTTGGCGCCCTGTCTTGGAGTGTAAGTATGTAGTCGTGTTAGCGAAAGTTTCAGAAATAAAGCTGTAATCTCGAACGTTTTTATAATTTACTAAAAAAAAGTAAAAAAAACCAAACAAAGACAAAATGACACCAAATTCAACTCAATTTTATTCAAATAATAACCAATGTGTGTGTTTTAGGGCACGGGGCAGTGCGGGGGTCTGTGGGGGGCGCAGGGCAGAGCGGGGGTCTGTGGACAGAGAGGCGCTGGGCGGAGGGTGGTGGCGTGCAGGTCTCTGTGAAGTTGTGGTGGGTGGTCTTGGAGAGATCTCTGGGTGGGGGGATTGCTGGGCATAGGGGACTGTGGGGGGCGGTTCCTGGGCATGGGGGCAGTGTGGTGCAGCGCGCTGGCAGCACAGGGCCAGGCAGGCCAGTGTGTGTCTGGCGGCTGCTGGTTTCTAAACAGTGCCCTCGCGCTGGGCAGCAGCACGGGAGAGGCCAGCGCCCGTCACTGTGGATAGAATCAGAGCTGGCACCAGATCCCAGCTGGTGTCAACCGGCCACAGCTCCATTGGTTGCAGTCAATGGGGCCTAGGGTGACCAGATGTCCCAATTTTATAGGGCTAGTCCTGATATTTGGGGCTTTTTTCTTATACATATGCCTATTACCCCCCACCCCCTGTCCTGACTTTCACACACACTATCTGGTCACTCTAATGGGGCCAGATCATAGTCTCCAATTCCATAGGTGCTCTGGGACTCAAGCACCCACGGAAAAAAATGAGGGGGTGCTCAGCACCCACCAGCCACAGCTGTTTGGTGAGGCCCCGGGGCTGGCTGCTAATCAGCTGTTCAGTGGCTGGCGGGAGGTGCTGGGGAAGGGCGGAGAGGAGCAAGCAGCAGGCAGGCAGGGGCACTTGGAGGAGGGGGCTGAGATGAGCAAGCGAACGGCGGGCGGGGTGACTGGGGGCGGAGTGGGGTCAGGAAGAGGTGGGATGAGGGCGGGGCCTCAGGGGAAGGAGCAGAGTGGGGGGCGGGGCCTCAGGGTGGAACTGGGGTGGAACACACACCGGGAAAAATAAAAGTCAGCGCCTATGGGCCAGATCCCAGCTGGTGGGAATTCAGGCTGAAAAGCAGGTCACTGGTTGTCAGCACTGGGCTGGCGTTAATTGGCATGAATACTTTGGAGGCACACAGGTGAACACACCTGGTGCAATAGTGCATACAATGCAGTAGGGGGCAGTATTGTCTGTGTGTTTCTCAATCACACTCACTCGCACGCACGCATGCACTGCAAGCTGGAGGTTTGCCCATCTTTAAAAAAGGGAAGAAGGAGGATCCGGGGAACTACAGGCCAGTCAGCCTCACCTCAGTCCCTGGTAAAATCATGGAGCAGGTCCTCAAGGAATCAATTTTGAAGCACTTTGAGGAGAGGAAAGTGATCAGGAACAGTCAGCATGGATTCACCAAGGGCAAGTCATGCCTGACTAATCTAATTTCCTTCTGTGATGAGATAACTGGCTCTGTGGATGAGGGGAAAGCAGTGGATGTGTTATTCCTTGACTTTAGCAAAGCTTTTGATACGGTCTCCCACAGTATTCTTGCCAGCAAGTTAAAGAAGTATGGGCTGAATGAATGGACTATAAAGTAGATAGAAAGCTGGCTAGATCATTGGGCTCAACGGGTAGTGATCAATGGCTCCATGTCTAGTTGGCAGCCGGTTTCAAGTGGAGTGCCCCAGGGGTCGGTCCTGGGGCCAGTTTTGTTCAATATCTTCATTAATGATCTGGAGGATGGAGTGGATTGCAGCTTCAGCAAGTTTGCAGATGACACTAAGCTGGGAGGAGTGGTAGATACATTGGAGGGTAGGGATAGGATACAGAGGGACCTAGACAAATTAGAGGATTGGACCAAAAGAAACCTGATGAGGTTCAACAAGGACAAGGGCAGAGTCCTGCACTTAGGACGGAAGAATCCTATGCACTGCTACAGACTAGGGACCGAGTGGCTAAGCAGCAGTTCTGCAGAAAAGTACCTAAGGGTCACAGTGGACGAGAAGCTGGATATGAGTCAACAGTGTGCCCTTGTTGCCAAGAAGGCTAACAGCATTTTGGGCTGTATAAGTAGGAACATTGCCAGCAGATTGAGGGAAGTACCTATTCCCCTCTATTCAACACTGGTGAGACCACATCTGGAGTATTGTGTCCAGTTTTGGGCCCCTCACTACAGAAAGGATGTGGACAAATTGGAGAAGGCCCAGCGGAGGACAACAAAAATGATCGGGGGGCTGGGGCACTATTTCACTAGGAAGGTGGTGAAGCACTGGAATGGGTTACCTAGGGAGGTGGTGGAATCTCCTTCCTTAGAGGTTTTTAAGGTCAGGCTTAACAAGGCCCTGGCTGGGATGATTTAGTTGGGAATTGGTCCTGCTTTGAGCAGGGGTTGGACTAGATGACCTCCTGAGGTCTCTTTCAACCCTAATCTTCTATGATTCTTCTATGATTCTATGTAGGCTACCCATGCACCTCTCTCTCCGGCTAACCAATGGGGCACATGAATATTGTCTAGCAGACGGGCAGCTCGCAGTGACGCTGGAGCCAGGGCCATGATTTCCTTCCTCAGCTGCTGCTTCTGGCTCCAAACGCTGGCCACGAAAACAGGTAATGGAAATTTCCTTGGAATAACATTTTCCTTACAGAAACCACACAGCCAGCGCCCCCACCCTGCTCCCCACAGCGCCCCCTGCTGGGGTTGGAATGGCTGGAAGCTCCCCCTACAGCCAGCTTCCCTGCCCCACTCCTCTCCGCGCCCCCTGCTGGGCCAGGCCGGGGCTGGAGTAGCTGGGAGCTCCCTCCACGGCCAGCGCCCTGACCTGCTCCCCATCGTGCCCCCTGTGTGCATTTCTCACACACAATCCACCCCTCACTAACCCCTGTGTTTTCTGCTCTGTGCAGTGCAGTTGGAATCAGACGTTGTAGCTCATTTCGGGGGGGACGTCACCCTGAGCTGCCTCTTCCCATCTCAGCCCGGGATGAACCTCCAGGACTTGACCCTCACCTGGCAGAAGGAGCGGGTGGGGGCAGAGGCCCTGGTGGTTCATTGTCACTATTACGGGAGGGAGCAGCTGGAGAAACAGGACGAGGCTTATAGGAACCGGACCCAGCTGGATCCAGAGGGGCTGGCCTGGGGCAATGCGTCCCTGACACTGAGGGGCGTCCGCACCCAGGACGAGGGCGTCTATCTCTGCCACGTCACCTCGGAGCTGGGCTGAACGGCTGAGCGCAGGGAGCTGAGAGTGGAAGGTGAGTGCTGGGGATGCTGCATCCCGAGAAGGGTCTGGCTAACATGGTGTGGCTGACTGCTTGACTTATCTTATTTAGTACAATGTCCTGTTCTCTGCCTGATAAGTCATTTGCCTCCCTAATCCTGTCTTCCAAAGAATGAGCAGCCTCTGCCCCTGTATTAATTACCCATGTCGGGCCAGGTCTCAGCTACACTAGCACCGCTGTGTTACTGCGGCTGGTTCTTTAGCTCAGCCAGCTGCAGTGCAGGGGGTTAGATCTCCCGACCGTGGGTTCAAGCCCCAGAGAGAGCCTGACGTGGTCGTCATTAAATACCTTCCCCGCTGGCAAGGGAGGGCTCATTGCCAACCTGTGATGTCCTGCAGCTGGGTCTATCAGGTTAATCCCATGTGCTTGGAGGGTGAATCCCAGAGCTGGGGCCCTCAGAGCCAGGCTGGAATCTCTGCCCTGAGGCTGCCTTGCGTGTCCCAGCTGCTAATTCCCAAAGGCACCTTCAGTGAGCCCTGCTCCAGAGCGGACTCAATCTGGATTCATGACCTAGGCCAGGTCCCAGCCCACTTCTGAGACCCCTCCCTAAATCGCCCCCATGTTCCTTCCCCCCAGCCCTTTCCAGCAATTGAAGGTGAAAAACTCCAGAGACACGGAAAGTGTTTTTCCTTCAGCACCCTATAATGAGCCTCATCTGACCCTTGACCTCTTGTTTCGGCTGGGCCACACCCTCTTGACCTTCAGCTCGGGGGGCGGGTACCCCTGGGCGAGTGTGGCGCGGAGGGACAGGATGGGAACCAACCTGACGGAGCTCAACAGTACCACAGAGTCCGTGGACGCCCGGGGCCTTTACACCCTGTTCAGCGAGCTGGCCGTGCCCATGGGGCAGAGCACCAACCTCACTGTGCTCCTGGTGACAGCGCCCGGGTGGGAGACCCCCGTGCAGCACATCACAGTGGCAGCAGGACCCGGTGAGTGGGGGAAGAAGGATGGGAATTGTCCAGCCTGTGCAGGGCTCTGCCCCACAGCAGGACGTGGGGAGGGGATTAGCGGCTGAGCACAGTTATTTAACCCATTGTCGCCCCCCAGTGGCAGAGTGGAGTATTGCCGCTCAGCAGCCCCGAGTTTGGGCTTCTCCATAACAGCCCAGGCAGGAGGGCGACACGCTGAGCCGGGGGAGCTCGCTCCGGCTCTCAGGCCCTGTTCACAGGAAGCTCTGGGCTCTCTTTTGCAGGGCAGAGACGCAGCCACGTCTGGCTGCTGGTGGCCTGTCTGTGATAGTGGCTGCGAGGATCCTTCGCCCTCCCGGCTGTGGGACTTGCAAACGCTGCTCAGAGAGTCGCTTCACCGGGACGAGGGATGTGGAGGATCCTTCACCCCAGAGCCAGCCGGGCCCCGGCGCCTGCCCAGCCCTGGGTACACCCACCCCCGGCCTCGGGGCTGATCTCCCGGCGGCTCCTTCGGGCCACCTTCACGCCAAGGCTCTGTAGCCGGGAGCCAGGGGTCTCTAGACCCAACGGCTGCACTTTATAGCGAGGACAGCGCAGTTCTATGGGCAGCACAGAGCCACTGCACCAGGGCTTGGCTTTCTGAGCCTGTAAGGGGACGGTTGCCCCCCACAGACACTTTGGGGGGGTTGGTTGGCCCTCTCCCAGCACCAAAAGGAAGGGGAAGGGCCGATTAGTAACCAGGACTCTGAGATTCACAGTCCGCATGGCCAATGGGGAGAGGCCAACGCTCAGGTCAGCCTGATTGACAGGGCGGGCAGGCCAACGAGGGAGTCCGGAGGCCAGGGGGTCCCATCCGCTGTGTGAGCTGGAGCTGCCTGGCCAGAGGTGCCGACCTAAGGAGAGAGCAGGGACCAGGAAAGCAGCCCAGGGCGCTGGAGGCAGAGCAGTAGCTGCAATGCTGAGGCAGAGTGGAGCTGGGGCTGGAGCCGCAGCTGGGGCTGGGTGCGGTGAGCAGCTGGGGAAAGCGAGGGGGGATCCTGGGCAGAGGTCCCAGCACAGGGAGACGCCCCCAGCCAAGAGGCCTTGCAGGGTCCTGATGCCTAAAGCCTGAGGGCGTGTGGCCACCACCAGAGCAAGTGTCCGACCCGCAGCATCCCTGCAGCACAGCCAGGGCCTGGGATGTGTGAGGAACAGGCTGTGAACTGCCCTTACAATCCAGCCACGGCTGTTTGTGGTTCCCCCTGCCACAGAGCGGGGTGATGGGTTTTCCTTTCACCTTCCCATTTTATCCTCGTTTTTTTAATTGGTTGCTGTTTAATAAATTGTATTTGCTTTGACCTGTATGTAATGATCAGTGGGTCAGGGAAGTGTCCAATGCGGAGAGAGCACCCCGGAGTGGGGACACCCTAGTCTCTGTCCTAAGTGATCATGACAAGATTGGCGGTCGAGCCTCCCAGGAATCCTGGGCCCAGCCTTGTCGGGGTTACTAGGACTCTGCCACACAGGAGAGTGGAAGGGGAGCCCTCGAGGTCAGGCAGGCCTCTGGGTAAAGGGAGAGGGAGCGAGGACTCAGATCCTTTCGCTAGCCCATCTCACCGGGGTAGTGCATAAACCGGGAAAATGCCCCACAGTAGCGAGACCATCCCCCCCGCTTACAAGCCCTGCCACTGCTCCTGACCCCTGCGACGGGAGAGCTCCCTGCGAGGCGGAGAATGACCCGTGTCAATACAACAGGGCTCATACGCTAAGGCCCCCAAAGGGGGAACGTAACCCTGGCTCTTGCAGGGCAGCGCTTTGTCCCCCTCTAATCACTGCACCCAGTGGCATAGCCAGGTTCTAACATCAGGGGGAGCGAACAGATAAAAAAAGCGCCACCCGACATATCAAATTACTAATTACCATACTTTTAAATTCGTTATACATATTTATTTTGTACTTAAAATAAAAACACAAGAATTATATTGTTTTACAAATACGTGTTATTTTGCATTTAAAATATAAAAACAGTTTTACAGTAGGACATCTATTTATATTGTATATAAAATCAAAACATAAAAACACGTGATATTTACTTATTTTATATTTCAAAGATAAGATCAAAACAATATGATAATCTATGAAGCAACCTCAACAGCCTCTTTCGTCTAAGCTTCATTCTAGCAAAGTTATCGATTACTTTATTATAATCTACTTCATTAGCTAATTGTCTTTCAATGGAGAGCAAAGCTAACCCAGACAATCTATCTTCACCCACTGTAGAGCGCAGGTAGGACTTTATAAGTTTGAGTCGGCTAAAGGATCGTTCCACAACTGTACTACTTATTGGCAAGGTCAGAAAAATGTGGTACAATCTCGAAAATTTAGGATAAATGCAACACATATCATTGGCGATCATGAATTTCAGTACACTGTTGATGGTGAGTTTCTCGTCGACACTTGACTTTACCCTACCGCTAGTGCTCATTACACTGCTCTACAGCCAAAATGCTTCTGAAATAAATGTAGTCAAACTTTATTAATTCTGGGTCACTGAGAACGAAAATGATGCTTAAAATTGTTGATTGGCTCTAGTTTTCAAGATACGCTATTGGGTCAGTATATACGACCCTTGACTTGGGAATGGCGGAGGATAAGTGAGTTATAAAGGGAAGGGATCTCAATTTAAACCAGAAATGACTAAAATACATCTTTGACTGGATCTATGAATAAATCTATGACTGGGTTTGGACAGTACTTGCTTTTTAGGCAAAACAATGAATGATGCAATCTGAAGCTGGTATTGCGTCATACATGATATGAATTGCATCATGTTATTCCTAGAAGTCATAGATGATGCAATCATAACGAAGCTTACATCAGTCTGCTGAACAAATTGCCCTATATCAGCTCTAGAAATCATACAGTGTCGTGCTCTCTTATTTGTCAGTGTTTGATTTTGCAAAGGGACACATTTCTGTTTAGCCAAAGTGAGCAGAGATGCCTCGTACTTGTGTGAAAAAGTGCAGATAACTTCTGCTGTGTTTGTGGTGAAGTGACTTTTGCATCACAAAAGTGCAGTATAACCACTATGGTTAAGAAAGCCTATCACCTTTATTTTGGCTGCAAAATTGGAGATCAGGACAAGAGGTGGGCCCCACACATATGCTGCAACACTTGTGCAACAAATCTTCGCCAGTGGTTGAACAGGAAAAGGAAATCTATGCCTTTTGCAGTGCCAATGATTTGGAGAGAGCCAACAGATCATACCAGCAATTGTTACTTCTGCATGGTGCCTCCAGTTGGGAAAGGTGTGTCAAAGAAGAAAAAGTGGACTGTGCATTATCCAAACATTCCATTAGCTATACGCCCAGTACCCCATGGAGAAGGACTGCCGGTTCCTGATGCACCAGAATCATTCTCACTTGAGTCAGACGAGGAAGAGGAAGAGGATGAAACTTCTGGTCCTGAACCATCAATGTTACAGGACCCACATTTTCTCCCATCCTCTTCCTCTGAACCACACCTCATAACACAAGGTGAACTGAATGACCTTGTCAGGGATTTGGAACTACACAAGAGTAAGGCAGAGCTGTTGGGCTCCAGACTACAGCAGTGGAATCTCCTGGCAGGTGATGTTAGGGTTTTCATGTTCCGTGACCGTCAAAAGGATCTTGTCCCATTCTTCTTCATGGAAGGCGATCTTGTAGCCTGCAACATCGATGGTGTGATGGCAGCCCTCAACATCGTTCACGATCCAGATGAGTGGAGACTGTTCATTGATTCATCGAAGATGAGTCTTAAAGCTGTTTTACTGCATAATGGCAATGTTTTGCCATCAATTCCAGTTGGTCATGCAGTCCATATGAAGGAAACCTATGACAACATGAAACAACTTTTGAGGTGCTTAAACTATGACCAACATCAGTGGCAGCTTTGTGGTGATTTGAATGTTGTTGCTCTCTTGCTTGGTCTGCAGACTGGATACACAAAGTACTGCTGTTTTCTCTGCAAATGGGATAGTCGTGCAAGAGATTCCCACTACATCAAGAAAGATTGGCCACTCCGACAGTCATTGGAGCCTGGGAGGAAAAGTGTTCAGCATCCACCACTTGTTGAATCAAGGAAGATTTTGTTACCACCCTTACACATCAAGCTGGGTCTGATGAAGAACTTTGTCAAGGACATTTGTCAAGCAGCTTTCAAGTACCTCCGTGGAAAATTTCCAAGGTTAAGTGAAGCTAAGATAAAGGAAGGTGTCTTTGTTGGTCCTCAGATTCGTGAACTTCTTCGAGATGATGCATTTGACCATGCACTGTGTGGCAAGGAAAAGACTTCCAGTTAGTGGCAATACATTTTCTCAGAAACAACAAGGCAGACAACTACAGGTTGTTGGTGGAAAACCTCCTCAAGGCATACAAAAGCCTTGGTTGCAACATGTCACTAAAGATACATTTTTTGCACTCTCATCTAGATTTTTTTCCACCGAACTGCGGAGCAGTGAGCGATGAGCACGGCGAGCGATTTCACCAGGACATTGCAACAATGGAGAAACGCTATCAGGGCAAATGGAGCCCATCAATGCTTGCAGACTATTGCTGGACAGTGACAAGAGATGCTCCATTTAATGAATACAAGAGACAAGCCAAGAAGCACCGAGTAGACACTGAATAGGACTAAACTATGTACATAATAGTTTTTTGCCTTTTGTTTCATAATAAATTTTATTTATATAACCCTTTTGCTGATTTTTAAAGTATTACATAAACAGGACAGGTGAAATATTATCATGTAAAGCAACCATAAACACATGAAAAGACCTAGGTTTACAATTTATGATTAAAACTCTATTACACAATATACATAGACATAAAATGTAAAAACTTAAATATCTTAGAAACAGTAGCCAATCAGTTGTTTTAATTGTCATATTTGAATTCAGCACATCAAAATACATAATAAATAGCACATTTTATCTCTGAAGCAGACGACTTCTCAAAAATTGTAGACCAGTGTTACTTACCGCTTTGCGCAGTCGCTTTGCA